CGTTTCTCATCCGCACGCTTACTGTCCTTGTTGTCATCTTGGAGCTTTACATTGAGAGAACAACTTTATACTTGAGAAGTTCTTCCCTGCAGCGATCCTGCTCATCTCGCATTAGGATGGTCAGTCCCTTATCCTTCAATTTCTATTTTGTTGTTCTTCTTTTTCTACTTAACTCCGTCACTATGAGTCAAGAGAGCAGCAGTCGCACCCTAAGCGCTAGGGTTTCTGAGTCTGGATTATAGCGTTAGTACTCAACCTTCATTCATTTTTTACTTCAATTAAATCTAACCCTTTTCAGTGTTCCTGAATTTTTGTTAAAATATCAACGTCACTTTTTCAAACAGCTAGGAGTGAATATCAATGCGTCCACCATAAAATATAATTGGAAAAGTGATTTTTTGTGAGAGAAGCTGCGTACATAGACCATGCTATTTATTAAGTAAAAAAGAAAATAATTTATCAAATTTTCACACTTAAGAGTCTGAGACTGCTTCATCTCAAGTGAAAAGGTAAAAGTTGAGGAATTTGTATCATGTGTCCTTTTTAGTTGTGTATGTGCCTGTTTGGTTATCTGCGTTTAAATTGACGATGAAATAATTACGTAAATGTGTCAAAATTTTAATTTACTGGTATTTTATTTTTGTAACACAATATAATATGTTACATTTACAATATAAATTTGTTGAGCAAGTGTTACATTATTATTGCTTGATTGTTGTATTTCATGATGTAATAGGTTGTGATGTGATGCAGTATGTTACAAAGCTGATTCACACGGAATGACATGAGACGGGATGTGATAAGGGTAGGGGGTGAGCAAATAATTAGTGGTTTTGCGAATCCGATCCGATCCGTGTAGATCGAATCGGATCACTACACCCACAGTTCGGTGACAGATTCAAAAAAATCAAATTCGTAGTTCACGGATCGGATCATGAATTGGACAATTAACAATCCGATCCGATCCGTGTGTCCGATCTGTGAAATTTATATACATATTTTCGGATAATATATTAATTAATTTAATTAGTTAATGATAATTGTACTCTAAGGATGTATTAGTTAATAATTATTTAAATATATGAATTAATACTAATAAATTAAAATTTTATGTGTTTATGTTAGTGTTAAAAGATAACTAAATAATAAATAATATTAGTTATAAAAATAAAAATAACAGATAATAAATAAACTCAATCCGTAGATCCAATTCGATCCGATATTACACAGATCCAATCCAATCCGATTCGTGGGATAACAGATTAAAATTTTTCTAATTCGTTAAGAACGGATCGGATTAAGATTGATGCCTAATCCGATCCGATCCGTAGCTACCCCTAGATAAGGGTATTACGTTGTTGTAAGGGTGGCAATTCATGTTGACGAGTCGTATTTTGTCTTGTCCGGTATGAGTATTATGTTATGCACGTGGGTTGAACACGATACGATTATTATTCGTGTCAAGAAACCTTGATACAGGAAGTGGTGTAGTCAGAAATTTTCTTCTGTGGGGGCAATCTTTAATAACAAATATATATATAAATATAAATATAAATATATATATATATATATATATATATATATATATATATAATTTGAACCAAAACAATATATGTAAAAATCTATACGATTTTTCAGATTATTCATTGCTGTTTAAAAATTGAGTTCATTCAATTAAATATACTAAAAAAAAAATCATATTCAATGAATTAAGAATAAGATATGAAAAAGAAAATAATACAGTTATATAACTGTTCTAATATATCACATAAGTGAAAAAAATAAAAACACAAACTAAAATTTAAAAGAACAACAAGCCCTAAAGTAATTTTGATAGTAATAACTAATAATTTTTTGAATTAAAATTATAATATCAAATAATAATAAATTTAGATGACAAAAAAAAATATCAGATTAGTTGTCTGCCGCAATGCAGTACGACTGAGTGAGTGTCTATCTACTGGTAAATGGTTGCTCCGCTTGCTTTATTTGGATTGTGGAAAATGTTGAAGATGAAAATGTGATGGAAATAATCCATTTATTTGTGCTAAAGTCAAAAAGTGTGGTAGAATATCTCGATGAAATGTTTTTTTTTTTTTTTTTTTGGAAAGTGGTAAATAATATAATATTTTGAGAAATTAGAAAAAAATATCATAATTTCTGGGAAAGTATAAATTTATAGATATATTATATATATTTACAATTGTGTCATGATTATATTCCTCCCGTGAATGAGCTTTAGGTTATATATATATGTGTGTGTGTGTGTGTGCACTGTTAAATTTTAGGGGGCAACATTACAAATATAAAAATCTTTCTATATAAAATTTTAAAAAATTAAAAGTTGAGTGGGGGCAGTTGCCCCCACTTGTCCCTCTGTGGCTACGCCATTGGATACAGGACACGATTAGTATACCAGAAACACGACACGACGTGCGTAATTCGTTTAATAAATAAATCAAAACATGACACTACACGACACGACACACCACATTTAAATTATTTCTAACACGAACATGACTTGCTTATCTAACACATTTAGTTAAATGGACCATTTTTAACATAAACACGATACGTTTATCTAACAAGTTTAGTTAAACAATTGTAAACGAGTTAATAATTTAAACACAAATACAAACGTTTAATCGCTGTATCAATTCAAATTGACACAATTACGACACAAATTCAATTAATCTAAATCTCGTGTACGAGTTGTGTTTCAAATATTGTCAATCGTACGTTGTTATATTGGTGTTGCTTTTCATGATGTAAAGTGTGTTGCATTGTGTCATAGTAATATATTGCGTAGCTAATTTAGATGAAATGGGACATAAGGGTAGCAAAAGTTAACACGACTCGTCAACACAATTCGAACACGATATGAGTTAAACGAATTTGGGTTGACCTTAAACAGGTTCGGGTCATAAACGGGTTGACACGATTAACCCGTTTAGTTAATCGTGTCGTGTTTGAGTTAAGGAGTTCAACACATGTAACTTGTTTATTCATGTTTAACTATATATATCCTAAATAAATTTCTATTTAAATTCTAAAATTACTATATAAACTTGTGTTTTATAATTTAATCTTTTGTAAACTAGAAACTATTTATTTAGTAATTTGGTTGATTAAAATTTATATTTTTTTTAGTATTTATTATTTTATTAAGTATTATTAATAATTTAATAATATAATTTTTTTTTTTTTTTTTTTGTAAATAATTGTAACCTGTTTAATGACCAAGTCGGATTAGCGTTGAGAGTCCCTAACACGATTATTAAATGGATCGTGTTTGGATTGAACTATTTAGTATAATATTCTATTATCACGGTTGTGAGACAGGAGGGAATCCCTAATTCAAAGTGGAGAGTTGATTCAGTACATTTTCTCCTATTGTAAACTTGATGCGGTCTACCCCACACGGTGTTTCACAGTTGACACGGTTGCGTGCACTCGACGCTGGCCATTTGCCTATATATATGAACTTTATCTGCACTCTCTCGAGCATCTATAGCTAATCCTTGTTACTCTCTCACACACAGTAGCACACACTGTCTCCCTCTCTCTCTCTCTCTCTCTCTCTGTATATACCTATGGATGCTCCTGGCGAAGCCACCACCGCACCCAGCCCCCCGCCGCCTTTCGAGAGGGCTCTTGCAACTCCCACAAGAGGCGGCGCCGCCACAGAATATCCTGAGGTTCCAAAGAGAGGCCAGATTCTCAAGAATATTCTTAAAATAGAATTTCCTCGTCTGTTTTTTCAGTGACAACTGATAAATCTTGCCAAATAAAACCATGTCATTGAATTCTTTTTATTTAGAAAAACATTTTTTTACTGAAATCTCAAATTTAATTGTGTAGCTTGAGTTTATCTATAAACCTTTTAAAATAATCGGTGCCGATATCATCAGTCTTCTATTTATATCACATAACGAGATTTAATTTTTCGTAAAAATAAATCGACTATCATGTGGATGGTGTGTGATGGTTGCATTATCATTAACTCCTTTTGTTGCGAATTGATGAGATCAAAAAGCGTTTCACATCATATTCAGAAAGGAATTTGTTAGGTTTGACTTGGTGTTTCCCAGGGATTGTTACTCGACCTAGATGTCAAGTGTGTGCATTGGTTGATTAGTGCTGGTAATGTTATTAATTTTGCCCAAACAAAAAAATAAAAGAAATTTAGAAAACAAAAAAATTAAAAGAAATTTAGATGATAAATTATTCTCATTGGTCCCGCATATCAATGAGAATAATTATGTATTATATATATATATATAATGATTCTAATTTAAAAATTACACCTAATAATAACTATCCTCTTTGTCTTATTTTACATGTTTTGGACCGTCACGTTCCCGAAACCAAATGAGACGGAAATAGTAAAAGATAAATATATATGTATGGTCCAGAAATATGGTCAAAGGCTTCGTCCACCTACAAAAAAAATCAATCATTTCTAAAAGAGTAAAAGCCAAATCTACATCTCTCCCTGTCAGCCCCCACCAAATATTCGACCAGGTAAGGTGCACATGCCATACAAGTGACATTCTATTATTATTATTATTATGCACATGTATATTTTTCATGGAGTTGGTGTTCCTTAAATCATCACCGTTGGATGGTTATAAGAAACTTTCATTCTACAAGTCAGATTCTATCAAGGGTTGGTGATAATTTTAACAACAATGGGTCTTTCAAAGGGTCGGTCCTCCAGTTAGATAATGTCTTAAATTAAGGACTGTAACATGTTGTGCTGCCAAATTTGATTCCATGAGCAGGCCCTCATGGAGACATAAAATGGACCCTTATACAACCTTACTGCAATATTATACATAATCAGTTTGGTTTGACACCTACTTCATCAATAACTTTAATGCCTTGAACCTGCAGTATACTTGTACAACATAACAAAACCCCAAATTTGATTTCATGGGCAGACCCTCTGTTAACAAAACCCCTAAACAGAATCTAAATCTAACATAAAACTTAGAGAGTAACAAAAGAATGAACTTCTATTTATTTTTTTCTCACCCACTCATAAATCCCATATGAACATTCAGAATTCAAAATATCTCATCAAATACAATCATTCCATTCTCACAAATTGATCCAATGACAAATGATATTCTTCGCTAAAATTAAACTTAAAGTAATAACATTTCAAACCTATGATCAAACTCCAAAAAACAGAAATCCACATTCTTCATGCCCAATTAGGATCCTTCATTATTCCATACTCCTTCAGGCTTCAATGCATAACCTGAAATATGGTAGGAGTAAGCTAGACAACCCGGTAAGAAATAACCCTATCCTCAATAAACATGTTATGAAAGCATATATATTGGAGACAATCAGTACAACAATAGACCAGCAAAATCAAATCTGGAAAGCTTGATTACAGCAAATGTAACTTGTACGTTAGTTTGGTTAGCTATAATTTCCAGATTCGTCAAGGCATTACAACAATAATATAATAAAAATTCATGGCACCAAGTTCTTCATTAAACAAGTTCAATGGATATCACAATAATTTGTCAAACATATTTTAAAATATCATATTCCAACTCTGCATATTAAATAACAAACGCAAGAATAAGTATCAAATATGCCAATAAAAGAAGCTATGTAACCAATTTTCAATATTAATGAGACCACGTATCACTATACCGTTCAATGAATTTTGAGTGTTTCAACCTCGGGATGTTTGCAATCCTACATGCCTCACAGGGATGCTACAATGCCCCTTCAGAGGTGGTGGGCATTCCACCCTCTCAACATTCTATCACACTAGGCTTCTATCCTTCAAATCAAACCGAATTCAACATGTCTTGTTTCGACAAAATATCAATTTTCTTACCGCATTAGCATACCACACAAACCCATTTGTCATATTATTTAACATTATTTGTGTTGCTGATTGCTCCTCTGTTTTCTGTATATACTAAGGTAAGGAAGGGGGCTGCACACTTGGCTGTATCTCAGAAGCCATTTCATACAAAGGCAAGTCCCTCATTTGGTACTACAATTATGCAACTTTTCTTTTGGATTAAATTTAATAAGTTAGGTCATGTAGGGCTGTTGTGTGCAGTCAATTTAACATCTGTTAACTGGATAAGTTTCAATCAATCTAGCTATCGATGGATGCATTCTGGATCTCAAAATGTCTTGTTCTAAAATCTTAATCGATCGAGGTTTACTATTTTGTAAAAAGTTATGCGTTTAAAAAATCATTTTATCAAAAAAATCTAACTTTGATAAACAAAATTTAAACATTATTTTGAGCATTCTGAAGATCAAACCTTGGTCGCTAAGGTCTCAAGTTACCTTAACCTAGACATGTGATTGAGCCATGAGAGAATCACGGTGTGTTCTTTGCTGTGTTCCATCACCAACATCTTTTGAGGTTGTAAAGAAATGACTCACAACATTCACACAGTATAACTTACACTTTTCCTTTAGGTACTGGTCATTAGAATCGACTCACATACCTAACACCATAATACTTCCACAGAGAAGAGGATATATTAGCCATTTGGTAGGGTGTCCAATAAAGCTATGGTTGTGTCAATGTTGGAATCGCCGTTATTTATTCCAGAATTAGAAAATTTAGTCCACAAAATTCTAGGGTTCAATTATCCTAAAAGGTTTCAGCTGCGCACTTTGACCATGTCCATATTATGAATCCATCGACATTGCCACCGTAACACTATTGTCATCTACACTTATAACATTATACAACTACACACCTCTCAATAGCTAAAATTTGAAATTATTGCATCTTTCACAGATATGAAGGTATGGTAAAGCTTTGATGCATTAACTCTTAAAACTTGTCCAAGGTATTCAATTAAGCATACAAAGTCATAACTTTAATCAACATCTACCTTTAAGTTGAATGCCATCTCACCTAATTATCAATCAAGTATACAACTTCCACATTATTCAAGTTTTTATTAGTTTCATTAACATTAAGTAGTTACCTAGACGTTAATATTTAACATTTTCTGTTTATGCTAATCTAGTTCCTCAACTAAACCTACTAACTCCAACATGTTTATATTTCAAATCAAGATTACCGCCTTAGTTTTATAAGATCGGCCAATTGCCCTATACCATACCTACACTCTGATACACATACAATAACTAGTAAGTTTGCTGCCTAAGGCTCCAATACAGATCAAATCCTTTTGCTCTCAAGACTTGACTATATCTTAGGAGCCGTTTCGTACAAAGGCTAGCTCCCTCATTCAATAATTACCTTGTACTAGTGATCTCTCATACACTGAGAAATTGTATTGTTATAAAACTTCCTTTCTTGGTTACAATCCAGGAAAGGCAACCAAGTATTTTGTAGGCCAGCTTCGAGTAAGACACCAACTCTTTTACTTCACGCCTTTGAATTTCAGAAGTCAAGTCATGTAGGGCTGTTAGGTGCAGTCATATTAACACCTATTCATGCCAAATTTTAACATACTACTAGTATTTTTTTAAAAAACTCTCACTAAATGGCTTTCCGTTCAGTGAGGGCATATTAGTCATGTGGTAGGGTACCGATAAACCTATAGTTGTGTCTTAATCACGTTGGACTCACCATTATTTCAGGTAAGGGTCAATAAATTTTACCCTTCAACTCGTGTCACTTTGAAGGATTTAGGGGGATATCAACTTGCAACGAGACCATTCACTAAAATCCCTAAATTCTTTAATTCTAACAAAAGAGGTGTAGAGAAAGACTATTTAGAATGCAAACAAGACAAAAATAAATTAAAAAAGACTATTTAGAATGCAAACAAGACAAAAATAAATTAAAAAATAAAAATAAAAATAAGCACCAACATTATCATTAACAAATTTTGCCCATCCTTGTGTTCAAGTGGGTCCTTCAGTCCCTACGCACCTAGACTCACTACGTTCTCAAGACAAGGGTTCCACCATTTGATTTGATTTTGCTAATTCAAATGCTCAGCATTTTTTTGAAAGAAATTGGCTTTTATCTAGTATAAAATCCTAATGAATAATTTTTGTCAAAACAGTGACAGAGTATTGTTTATAAGGATATTCAGCTAATCATTTCCTCTGCACTGTTGCTCTTACAGGAGACAGATACTGGAATATCCTCGGTACTTTCAGTCCCTATCTGAATTTATTTTAGACCTGGTGAAACTTTCTTTAATCCCACTTCTTCAGTGATGTATCAAGAGGAAAAACTTATGTTTGGATCCATATTTCTTGAAGTTCAAATTTATTTGCCATGATCTTAATACAAGATAGCTTTCAAAACTCAAAACCTCAACAGTCTCTCTTAAGTTCAACTCTCTGTGAAAGACAACCCGAAAAATCATTCATACCTATTTTACCTAAACTCATTCCAATGCATCACGAAGACCCCCCACACCAACCCTCCAAATATACAGGCTTTTTTCACACACTTGAATACAAGGCTTCATGTCTTCATTGTGTAGTTCCACCACCACTTCTCATCCTAGCAGAGGATGAAATTTTGAATTTGTTGATGAAGGGAATCAGTAGTAATCCTATAAAGAATAACTGCCCACGAACCTTACATGAAACTGATAGCCCCTAAACTTGAACCAAGGGATATGATTATTAAGCATCAATTATTAGAGAGTCAACTTAAAAACTTCAACATCTCAAATTATTGTTCTGAGTAATTTGAGAAAACAATTTATTTGAACATAAATGTAGAGCAAAATATCAGAAGTGCAACATGTGCGAACCAGAATCACAACAAAAATAGATATATTCACCAAAAACTAGCTTGCTTGTAGTTTTCATCTAAAAACTTCGTAAATGCAATCCTTGGACTCTCAGGCGGATGCATAAATATGTAACTTCATTTAGGAGGTGCAATATACTACATCAAATTCTCAACAGAGCTAGAAACGAAGTATACAGAGATTATAGTTTTATCTAAATATAAAATATGTTAATTTTCCAGATCATTAACTGCCTTTATAATATACATGAAGCCAAATCTGACCCAAACATTGAAATGCTCCTTTAGATTGATCCTTCGTGTGGTAAACCTGTCTATATTTTGAGTTTTGCCCGTGATCTAGCATAATAATAATCGGACCTTATAATAAAAAGGATTGAAATACAAAGGTGAAGAGGGAATTGAATTCACAGCCAAAATTCCAAAAAGAAAGAATCGTACATATCATTAAAGAAAGAAAGAAAAGTGAGAGACAGAGATCTTACTATTATTAGAACATTCTCCCATGATTCCATTCAAGGATTTGGATCTTCAGCCCATTATTTCCCATTCTCCTTTGTTGTTCTTGAATTTCTCTCACAGAGTTTTCAGCAGAGCAACTACAACGCCGCAGTTGAATCATCTCTAGTGTAGGTATATCTCCCAAACTAGATGGGATCTCCTCAAGTCTTACACATTCCTCTAATACCAATTGTTGAAGGCAGGGGAAGTGGTTGCTGGAAGCATTCCATTGGCCAACATCCAAGCCTCGAAATTTCAAGAATCTGAGTTTTCGAAACTCCCCATCACTAGTGTCCCATCTTGAGCCCTCAAATGCCTCATCTAATAATTTGAGAACCTCAAGGTTGGGTAACATCCCGAGGATCGACATTTCCTCCCAACTTAGACCGACATATGATAAAGTTAGGCTTCTGAGACTTGGGGGAAAATTATCCAGATGGAAAAACCTTTTGCAGTCACGGGATAACACATTCAATGTTTCAAGGTGAATCAGAAAGTTCAGTTTAGGGAAATGATCATCCCCATTTAACCTTTTCCTAATATCACATTTTAGTTTTATGAGATTGGGAATCCATTTCAAGGCTCGCTCCTCTCCACTATAAAGATGCAGTTTGCCTAATGTTTGTAAGTTAGCCAATAAGAAAGCATCTCCATCGTTGGGTATGCTAGAGAATTCAATACCCCATTCAACACAGAGATGCCTCAACTTCACTTTCTTCCAGATATCATCTGATAAAACTAACAAATTTTGGCCTTCAAGAAAAAGGGTTTCTAGGTTCAAGAGGTTGAATTTTGATGGCAGGAAAATCTTTTGCCGTTCAACATGCAGTGCTAAATACCTCAAAAGGACCAAGTAATGTATTCCCCCAGGGAAAAAAGGAATTTGGATGGATGATAAATCCAAAACCCTAAGAAGTATGAAATCTTGATCAATGAGTGACACATTTCTTGGATAAAAGTTACCCCATGTATTTGAATGACCAAAGGATACGATAGAGCAGACTTTGGACGCATAGGGATAATGTTTCAAAGAAGTAAAATTGACATGGTCAGGATGTATGCACATGCGACGATGTTTATTTAAGGTGGTACTTGAAGAAGATCCAAAAATCTGCTGAAAAATATTCTCTTCGTCATGTTTTTCAAAGATCTGCTCAAAGAATTTCTCTTCCTGAACCTTATCACAAATTCTCTCAAGTAAATTCTCTTTGTGACCTTCTATGGAAATCTGATGAAGAAAATTCTCTTCTTGAGCTTTGCTCAGGCACAAGTCACGCAAGAGATCATGTACTCTGCACGCTTTGATTTCACCATTGGACCTTTTCTTCGAAACAATTACAAGGCTTCTATCAATTAGATCCATCAAGTAATTCACTGCAACCTCCTCCAAAGTCTTCTGCTCATTTTTCCATATAAATCCCTCGGCAACCCATAACCAGATCAATTTCTGCACTGGAATTTCATGGTCTTCTATAAATGCCCCGAGATAGAGGAAGCATGGTTTCAAGTAATGGGGCAAGTGGTTGTAACTGAGTTCTAGTGTGTGCATGTATTGCTCTGGGTCACTCACCATGTATGAACTTACACTTTTGGCAACATGCTTCCACCATTCCAGTGTCTTGTCTTGTTTTGCAAGAAGTCCAGATATCACGACAATTGCAAGGGGTAGTCCTCGAGTTTTTCTTGCAATTTTTTTTCCAATTTCCATCAAGTTTAGAGGGCAGCTTTCTTTGAGAAATGTCTTCAATCGCAATAAATCCCAACTTTCATCTTCATTCAGAAAGCGCAAACGATGAGGTTTAGCATGTAAAGCGACCGCCACATCTTCGTGTCGAGTGGTAAAAAGAATTCTACTGCCATTGCTGTCATTTGGAAAATATCTTTTCAGATCATTCCAAGGCTCCGAATTCCATATATCATCCATGATAATAAGATATCTATTACCCTTTAACCGTTTGTACAACTTTTCACCTAACTTTTCATTGTACTCCTCCTCAGTTAACTTTTTTTTTCCTAAATCCTCTCCAGTTAACTTTTCGTCACTCAAGTTACGAACATCATCTCTAGACTGGAAGGCAGAGCTAAAAACGGCATGCAACAAAACCTCCTTTTTATATACTTGTGACACATAAATCCATGCACAAATATAGAAGTGATATTGAATGAGACAATCATTGTAAACTTTTTTGGCCAGAGTTGTCTTACCGAGTCCAGGCATCCCAATGATGGCTATGCACTTCAGCTGCTTTTCATGTTCTTCAGTAAGCAGCTCCTTTATGTTCTCTGTTTCTTCATCGAGACCAACTACCGTTTCTTCCTGTACCATTGGGCTGATTGGTGCTGGTGAAGTTTGATGGGAAGACTTTCCAAATTGCTGTATTCCTATGCCACACAGTTTCTCCTCATAAATCTGCCTCACCTCTGTTTTAATAGACTTAATGCATTTGGTGACATTCCCAAAACCATGACGAATTTTATCAGCCGAGCAATGAAGCCATGTGAGAGTCAATTCCCTTTCATAAAAATTTATGTCCGTCTTCATGGAATCAATCATACATAAACCACGGAGAGGATCAGGAAGATATGTAGAAACCATCTGTTCTAACAACTTCAACCTGCGAAGAAATTCATCAGCCATGTGAGAATCAAGTGATGATGCCTTCTCATAAATAGTCATCACTTTTTTCTCCATCAGCAGCACTCGGGGTGTAAAATATGAACAAGAAAGTCCCTCGAGCAGGTCAGACATCTCTTGGGACAAGGAGAGGAGGAGATGAATGTCATCAGCAATGTCAAATTCAGACCAAATGATTCTCGATTCGAGATCCACGCAAGCAAATATCATGTCTTGGTCTGCTTCACACAAATAAACATGACGTCTGCGAAAGCAATCACGAATCTTTCTACTCCGATAGACCATCATTTCAGACAATTTGAAGAGGAAACGGATTTCATCAGGCATGTCAGACTCAAACCATGTGATAATCAGTCTCTTTCTCATCTCATTTTGTGGAGCTCTTGTCCAACCCGTCTCTGTCTCAAAACACTTCATCGCGTATATCTTGGTAGCCTTAACATCTTCTCCGATATCACCATTTTTCTCAGCCAATTGAGACTCAAACCATGAGAGAAGATTTATCAACTCTGTTCGAAGATACTTCACTAAATCTATCTCTTGCATCATAGTTTTAAAGCAACAATTGATTTTCTCAGCTAAATCAACCATCTTACATGACAAACTGACAAAGATATGCAATTTATCAGTAAAGACTCTTGCATCTTTGTCCAAGACAGAATTGAGGACTAGCGAATCGATTGTTTCTTCAACCTCGCAAGTAACATACCTGATTCTTGAGACAAGTAGTTTCAGCTGCTCATGCTCATTGAGTTTCTCTTCCGAATCTCTGAGAAATTTTCCAAGGAATTGCATGTCCTGGTAAAGCGATTCGATTTGGTCCTGGTCTATGAGTTTATTCTCATAAGCCTCCAGAATTAACTGATCATCGGAGTTTATAAGCTGCATCATCTTCTCCAGCAGAAATTCGACAGTAGCCTTGACTGTCATCTTCAAAATGATCAATGAAACAAACTGCTATGCAATGCTATGATTTTGAAACAAAACTATGTATTTGTTTTGTGAGTAATTGAACTCTTAAAAACTGTGAAACCCTTGGAAATTTGAAACAACCAACAGTCTAGTCTTTCTGATTGAGATCACGGTGTTGACTTGAAAAGCGTATCAAGTCTTTCTCGCCTTCTTTTTCCTTTTTCCCCTTGCCTTTTTCTTTTTGTTTTTAGTGGCACTGTCGGTATCGGATTAATTATTTTATTTAATAATTTAATTAAATGGAAATTTGAAACAACCCACAGTCTAACGTGTTTGTAGTCTTTCTCGCTTTTCTCGTTACCTTTTCTCTTTTTGTTTTTTAGCACTGTCCGTGTCGGATTAATTATTTTATTTGATAATTTAATTAAATAGAAGATCATATTAGTTTCCTACATTGACATTTTTACATTCCACACCGTCAACTTATATGAGAATGACAAACCAAACCACGTTTATTTTTCCAAGGGTAAAAGAGTCTTTTAATATTTATATAAATGACAGTAGTTATGACTTTCAGTGTGTATAATTCAAGTGGGTTATTTTCAAATCTTGCATTACTTCAAGAAATTTGTTGCAATTAACTGTATTATATAAGACTTCTTCATAGCTTTATTAATTTTATGAGGAGTTGTATGATGTAGAGAGAGTTATACCAATATGATGAGAGTTTTTTTTCCTATATACATGAATACCCTTCTCATATATTTTTTTGTCACTAGTGAGAGGGGGAGAGAGAAAAAAAAAAAGATTTTGTCACTTTATATGTCGTTTTAAGATGTTCTGTTACATAGAATTTGTTTTGAATGCGGAAGCCAAGTGAGAGATTGGACACTTTGTATGTTCATCTTATTTTTAAAATTATCAGACGTGTTTCTTTAATACATAGGATTTGTTTGAAAGTGTAGGTTTAGTGTCCAAAATAACAAAATACCTTCTTTAATACATATGATTTGTTTGAAAGTGTAGGTCAAGTGTCCAAAATAACAAAATACCGAAACATTCCATGACAAGTTTAGGCTATTCCAAGCTTTGGCAAATTCTGTCTACCTTAAAAAAGTCAATACTTTGGGGTGCTAAGCCTGGTAATGTCCTTGCAATGCCTATAAATTCAGGGCTAAAGTTTTTCCACAGCAAATTCAATTCAAGGCATTAAACTTGATTTCAACATATCGCAACGCAACTGTAGTCTGAGGACTGTAACATGTGCTGCCAAAGTTGATTTCATGAGCAGAGTGTTCGACATTCCTTCATTTCGATCTCCAGACCAGACCTTCATGGAGACATAACCTGAACCTCTATGCAACCTCTGATACACAAACTGCAATATTCGAGTCTTGAAATCACATAAATTCTATCATGGATTCTACAGTATCAGTTTGGTCTGACTGACACCTACTTCATCACCAGCTTTAATACCTTGAACCTGCAGTGTACTTGTAGTCCTAGTAATCCCTCACAAGCTTGGAATTCTAGTTAGGACAGTTTATGTCACACCCCGACCCGGTTGAAGAAACCCCTGATAAACTCCTAATTATATGACAAACATTCAGAACTTGAATTATCTCATCAAATTTTATCATTCTATTCTAACAAACTTATCGAACTACAAATGATATTCTTCACTAAAATTGAATTTACAATAATAACATTTCAAACCAATGATCGAACTCCTAACAACAAAAATCTTCATTCTTCATACCCAATTAGGTTCCTTCACTATTCCACACTCCTTCAGTGCATAACCTGAAATATAGTAAGAGTGAGCTAGACAGCCTAGTAGAAAGGAACTCTAAACCTTCATAAACATGTTACAAAAGCATGTAGTAAAAAGGGATGGCATCAAATTCTTAATCAAACAAAGTTCAACGCACATCACAATAATTAGTCAAAATTATTTCAAAATATCATAGTCCCATGTTTTTTCATATTTGACAAAAAAAAAAAATGGGATTAATATAAAAATATTCCAATAAATGAACCCATGTTACCAATTTTCAATATCATTGAGATCATGTATCACCATACCGTAACACTCTTTTTGAGTGTTTCAACCCCATGATCGTTGCAATCCTATGCGCCTCACAAGGACACTACAATGCCCCTTGGAGGCCGTGGGCATTCCACCCACTGGACATTTTTATCACACAAGGCTTTCGGTGTTCAAATCAAACTGAATTCAACATGTCTTGTTTCAACAAAATATCATTTTTCTCATCACATTAACATACCAACCATTTGCCATATTGTATACAAAATCATAAATAAATTATTTGCCATGAAACATGCACAACACACATAAGAAAGAAGGATATTAGAATGAAAAGATGAGATGAGACTAGAAGAAAGAGGTGGGTGAGATAAATGGGCAAGCGCCGACCAGTTACAGTTGGTATCAGAGCCAGATTCAATCCTTAATCCGGAACCACGCCAAGCGCCAAGCCCGGAAGGTGTCCACATGAGCTACTTGGGTAGGCAGAGTGGCCCGACCGCAACGAGGGAGTTGCAAGTTCGAGTGGGGGGGAATGTTACAAAGGGAGAATTGTCCCGCATTGGATCCGAATGAGAGAGTGATTGGATATAAATGGGTGGGTATACAGTACTATCCAATAACTTAAACTTTTGGGTAAATGGACAAACGTCTATCCGTTACAATAGGCTAGAAAAGTAAGAACACGGGGGAGAACTAGACAAAGGAAAAGTGCTCAAACTCACAATATCATTCAATACTCCCAAAACTGACTTGGTTGAAAACATCGTAGCATTTATATAGGCAAAACATAAACAAATCCTAAAATGATAATGTAACGACCAAATAAAAATAATAAATATAAATATAAATATAAATATAGGCATGACTTCTGCGAAAAAAAGTCCTACTACGACCTGCAGAAATACATATAAAATGTAATGGCCTCACTTGGCCTCAAAACTAATCTATCATGTCCTAACACACAATGCAATAATATACAACATCCCCAAAATCAACACATACATACAAAATGTCCCATTTCTCCATCTCCTCCAAACAAAGAATCACTTTAATTACATTAAGTTACAGTCCATGAAATATATTTATTTATACAAATTCTACCATTACAATACTATACAAGTTACACTTATTTTATTTTTTTTAATAAAACGTACATGATCATGTTTCTATATAAAAGACAACAAAATAAGAGTTCTAATCCAGTCTTAATTTGCGATGGGTTGTCACCCGCCCCTTCTTTCCCCAAACCTGAAAAATGTTAAAATAATGGGGTAAGCATAAGCTTAGTAAGAGGTGTCTAAGACACACCTCTTATGATCCCGTAAATCCATGCAAAGAATAGGCAAAAAGTAGACGGGATCATGTTATAGGGAATGCACATCAACAACCACAACTATAAGCTTGTAAATAATTGTAATTGTAACACAAATACATTAAATATGCAAATGAAGTGCAATGTCATGCCAATATCGCTCCCTATTTTCCAAAACAATTCCTTTTCACCTTTCCAAACCGTTAATGCAACCCGACCCATAGCACCTCTATGGCATCACAAGAGAATGGTTGGCTAGCTTTCCCTGACCACATGGCACCTCCATGGCGTCGTCTGGGTCTAGGTAGCTTAACCACACTAGTCTCTCTCTCTATTTCCCTCTAGATCACATTAACACCACGGACCACTAAACGCCTCCTAGGCGTCCGGTTATTACAAACACTTTCCAAAAACGTTTTTCCAAAACAATTCCATTGCCTTTTTAAAATAACTTTTCCCCCATTCCATGCCCAATGAAAATGCATAAATGCACCATGCCTCTTAAATATCATAATTCTTTATACATTTGAATTCTTAATCACAAACACAATTGGGAAAAAAATTATATAATACATATATCGTGCTTTTTACTATAATCAAATATATAAGGCATGGAATATAATTATTTAGGGCATGTTTTCTCATAAAATGGCAACTAACACATAATCACATATCACATATACAACAAATAAATCATTTTTGCAAGGATCCACACAAATTAAGCATACTATACAACAATTCATAAAGAATTATTCATAAAAATCTAAGAAAAATGTGAATTAGAAACTCCTACCTCAATTTAAAGAAAAAGCACACAAATTAAGCATACTATACAACAATTCATAAAGAATTATTCATAAAAATCTAAGAAAAATGTGAATTAGAAACTCCTACCTCAATTTAAAGAAAAAGCTCCAAATCAGCCAAAGTATTCGACAACCCAAAGTGCTCCAATTGAAGACCGGCTCCTATCAATTCGAAGATCTCGATGCGCTCGTCGACTTTGCCTTCAATGCCAAAGTCTAAATCTACTGTAAAAGAAATGAATTCACTGGAATATCAGAGCATCAACTCTCAGCCCTTTCACTGCGTCTCGGCGCTGTGGCTGTGTTTCTTTTATTTCTTTCCTTCTCAGTATCATTGTATCTCAAATAGTGCACAACTACGCACTATATAGTCAATCCACCGACACTAGTATAACACAACAGCTCACATCTCTTCTTATCCTTATCTTTCATAATATAAAAACAATACAACTCACTCATCAGATACAGCCCAGTGATCAATTTCAAAGCCAAGGAAAGTTGGTCAAAAGTCTCATTAGTGGGCCCATCATCATAATCACAAATTCAATCCTTCATATCTCCATTTCGGCTGACATCCTTTAGCATATAATATATATATATATATATATATATAATAAAACTAAATCAAACCCAAATATCTTCGTGGGTCCCGCCAAAGCCATCACACAATTTCCTCATCTCTTTCCCACTTTCAGCACCTGCTAGTTCCATTCTCCATCAAACCATACATATATATATACACACACACACAAAGGCAACAAAACAAAAACTCTTTTAAATATCAAGTGGGACCCGCAAAAAGCCTTTATCGTTTCCTTTTTGTTTTTCCCATTTCGCTACCACCATCTCCATCAGATATCACTATTGTTGACCTTAAGGATTTCATCCAAGAACAATTTAGAGGTTTTGATTATAACAAACCATTAATAGTGTTTAAGAACAAATGTTTACATTGAGTGTTATATAGATTATTCACATTCAAAAAATGACCTCAATGAAGCTAGAAAGATCATTCCAAGTATTCCATTACTCAATATCACATCTATAGAAAGCAAAGGAGACAAAGGAACATGAAGTTACAAGGAACTAAATGCAAAGTCCATCCAAAGATAGCTTGAACTACAATGAGCAAGAAAGCAACTCAAAGGAAGGAAGAAAGCAAGACTACCTCAAAGCCTAAAGATCATGTACAAAGCTTGAAGAAAGGGGTAGATAAGTTAGTCAGTGTTAAGAATTCATTGTCAAAGTATTTATGAATCCATTTGAAGCTCATCTCTATAAGACCATACATATCATATCATCATTTATATGTTCCTATATATATTAGCAACAGACCATGCACTTCATTCATAATAATTGCACATGAAGTCATTGCTAAAGAGTGAGTTAGTTCAAGCTTGCATAAGCTTTGAAAGAACTCATCACTTGTGCTAGAAATGATAATACCATGCACATCAATCATATAATTTATATTGGTCAACAATTAAGCCATGAGAAGCCTTCATTACCATGAGTTTGTAACGGACATTAGGACCCTAGAATGCGCGTCATGAAAAACTTTGTTTTTGGCTAAGTGTGAAAAATGGATTTTTGAAATAATGATTATTTCAAAATAATTTTTCCCAGTAATAACTCTTTATGCTTCAAAATAATTTGACCAAGTCTACATTAGCCTACATAACGATTCATTTTTACCAAAATTGTCAATCCAAATTTGTACTAAAACTGAATTTCTACAATTTGATTTAGTTGGATTTCAATTTTTTAGTATTTTTTATTGAATCCAAATGGGGAGTACTTCCTTATTTACAATGTAAACTTGAAGTAAATGGACATATAAATACTGGAAAGACATTTATTTAAATGTATAGAATGGAAATAAGGTAACAAAATTTTCTGAAGCTACAGTTTCATTTCGGCAGACTGAAATGTATAGGCAAATCATTCCGGATGACCGGTTTGGGCAGTAGCTATTCAACAAGGCCTCAGGCTATTTCGAACGACCAAAATAAAAAGCCTATTCATTTCGGCCGACCGAAATAAAATGGTCCAAAGGCATCCTGTCATTTCGGACGACCGAAACAAAGTGTTAATTCATTTCGGTAGACCGACTTAGCATAGATTCAAGCTTGAATGGCTATGTTGCCTTGAACCCCATGCACAATAGCTATATTTTTGAATTAGCTGTATCAAAACTCTATAAATAGAGCTGAAGACTTCAGGATTTAATGTTGCTACCATAGAGAAACATCATATAGCATCCAAAGAGCTTTTGTTCTTATATTCATACATCCCATATCATTAGAAGAGTATTGAGCTTAATCTATTCATATATACACTCTAAAGTAAGCTGAAAGTTGTACATCAAATCTGTGAGAGATATCTTTGTACTGAAATTCTGATTTTCAAATCTGTTGTAAAGCCTAAGAAAAGGTGTTCTCTTAGCAAAGGAAGAAGAAGCAAGTTAGCTTCAATTTGTAAGGGTTGGGGTGTGACCCAAAGGAAAACGGAGGTTGTCTCTTAGCAAGGTGAAGCAAGGAGTTGCTTCATGTAAAGGTTTGCTCTCCACCCGTAAGGAGGTGTCATAGTGAATTGGAAAGTCTCAAGAGGGGTCTTGAGCCGAGATGTAGGAGTTTCCAAATCTCGCTAAAATCGCCGTGTGAATGTTTGCAAATCTCTCTTCCCTTATCTCCTTTACATTTATGCTATTAAGTGCTTATGCCTATATATTGATTATTGTATAGTTCTTAGAAGATTTTAGTAAAATATGTAAAACTGAAAATTAGCCATTGTCCCCCCCAAGAGTCAATACCTGGGCAACAACTATATCTCATCCAATTGCATAATAATATATATAAGAACTATACTTCCACAAAAATACCAACATTATAATCAAATACCCATTAAATATCTCAAGTGGGTAAATCCAATCATAATTAAATAAATAATTATGACAACTAAAAATATAATGAAATAAATTAAATCTTAAAAATCCAGGTTGTCACAGATAAAGTACTAAAATATCCCTAAAAATGTAATCATAAGCGTAAACAAAAACCTTAATTTACTCAAATCTCTAATCCTATCTTTCTTTTCTCCTTGAGAGAAAGGCTAGCCCCTCATTTAATAGTTTCCCACCAGTGATCTGTCATGTAAACAAGAATTTTCTCTTTTCTTAGTTAATTGAACTATGAATTCATACAAACGCTAAGAAATTGCATTGTTATGAAACTTTTCTTCTTCGTCACAATCAGGAAAGGTGATCAAGTATATGTATTTTTTTATTTTGTTATATTTTGTCATGACAATTAACTCACACAATGCACCTGGCAATCTTGAACCGTCTACCTTTCAAGAAAGGAGAGGAGATAACACTAGGTCATGGGCCAACAAAATATATCTATTTTGTAGGCCAATTTCTAGTACTACAGGAATGCAACTACTCTTTTTGAATTGAAAAGACACCAAATTTTCTTAGTTTCCTTTTGTGGTTTCCCCCCTTTAATTTAAAATGTTCTGTTAGCAAAATATTTCTTTTTCCAATATATTATGTGTATACATACTCATGCGTGTTCGTGTAAAGGGTATAATTCCATAATAAAGTTTGTATGGTAGAATTCTTAATTAAAAATATTTCTATTTCACAACGACGGGTGCATTAAGAGTACCAACGGTAACTTAGAGCTAGAAGGGGTAAGTAGGTCTTTTGGATATTATTTCGCAATCAAAATTTTGAATTACTATTAATTTTCATTTAAAATTCAATTAATTAATTAATTAGGTGTCTCAGTTGCAACTATATAAGCATATAAAGCAATAAAGAAAATAAAGTAGGAACAAAATCAAGGGACATAGTTAAACATATCAAATACAATGAGAGAGGTTACACTCTAAGTTAATAGACTCTAACTCAAGAATTACCTAGTCTCCCGACTCAAGCTTACACAAGATCTCCCCATATCCTCCGGCCGTTGATCCATCGACAGACTCCTCACACAATCTACTCCTTCATGGAATTCTGATCTCCTCAACTAGTAATGTCTGATCACTCGACTAGATGGATATTCTCAATTCAGCTATGATTCTCTCATCACATGTAATATGGTAATCTATCAAGAATCTTAGATTGATTCTCAAAGCTCTCTCTCTCTCTAAAAATAAATTCTCTCAAAAAAAAGTAAAAAGAAGGTAAAAAATAATATGTAAAGAGTTGAAAGCCTACAACCCCATATTTATAGCCAATATAGAAGAACCATATAGTATGGTAAGTAAAATTCTTTTAGAATTCTGATTTGAGAGAGTTCCTGAAATATAAATCTGCATGGTTGATCAAGTCTTCAATGGAGCACCACTGGACAAGCTCGATAGATAGAGCTATCAATCAAGGAATTAAACTCTCGATCGATTGACCATTCGATCAAGGTTTACTGTTTAGTATGAAGTCTTGTTTATGGAAAATCATTTTTAACAAAAAGTATAATTTTGATAAATAATTAAAAAAAAAAAAAAATAGTATTCAAACAGTATTTTGAGCCTTCTGAAGATCAATTCTAGGTCATAATTTGTCTCTTAGTTTTCAACTTACCTTGACCTAGATATGTGATTGAGTCTTGAGAGATTCCCAATGTGTTCTTCGTTGAGCTCCATCTCCATCACCTTTTGAGGTTTTAGATGATAAGCGCTGAATGTTGCACATTCAAGCCCTCTTATTTATATATGTTAACTATTTATTGTGATCCCCAATTGCAATTCAAAATTGCAATTTTTAACCAGAGAATTGCTAAGCGGGCAACTGGTCGCCCACCTATGCTACCGGTCGCCCAGTGCCGCTGCAGAGGCCCAGCACACACCAGCTGCGTGCATGATAACTTGTGCCCGATCGCCCATCCCTGCGACCAGTCGCCCACCTTTTCATCTCATGACAAAAAAGTGGTTGGAAAGTAAGCTACTTTTCCCTTTTTTTGTGGATCTTGTTGCAGACCCTGGGGGACGAATTTCTCTCTCTTAGAGGACCACACAAGTGATATATGGGGCTTGTCTTGCATAGAGAAGATATCTTGGAATATAGAGAGAGAAAGGGGAGAGTTCTAGAGAGAGAGAGAGCTTGGTTCTTGAAACTTGAAGCTCATCCATGGAGTCTAGCTTGGATATGATGTCTTCTTCCACCGAGGAGGCCTCCACCTTGACCATGAGCAACTAAACCTCTTCCTAGGGAGTTGATGTAGCCATCTCCAAGTAACTATGGTTTGATTTTGTGTATATTTTGGAGAAAATGATGTATTGTATAACATGTGTAACTTTGCTTTTTACATGTGTTGTTTATCTTGTAATGGATTTTAATGTGTATAATCGTTCATGATGAAATCTTGTCTTAGAAAACTTTTATTTTTATGGAACCATGTTCATTTTCATAGTGACAATGAGAATGACAAGTTATACAATTGCTTTCATGACATACAATATGTTCGAATTCATGAGAGAGAGAGAGAGGGAGAGAGAACAAAGTTGTGTATTGTATATGTATTAACCCTAAGCCAACGGAGGATTATATAAAGGAAAAAGTAATAACCTAATTACACAATGTTACCTAATTACACAATGATCCTAAAAACTATGGGTAATTACATAATGACCCAACATAAATATATATATATATATATATATACACACACACATAAACATTCTAACACTCCCCCTC